GTGCAAAATTGATTGTTTTGTTTTATTTGAACTTTATATCATGCTGAAACAGGGGGTGGGCAGTGCTGGTCCTCAAGGGCCACAGCCCTGCATGATTTACTTGTTTCTCTGCTCCAACACACCTGGTGGATGCTGGTCTTTCAAGGAGGGGAAGCTCAATTACAGCCGACGTTATAAAATGTGTCAGTTTATTTAAATGCAAATTCTACCCTCCGTTCCAGAAAGAGTGATAGAGGTCAGTCTCCAAACACAACTGACTCATCTTTTGTTTCGTTTCTCTAGTCATGTGGGCTGAAAAGTTGGGGAAACAGTTGGGCAAGCCCACTCGATCGCTGGGGGGATGGCTCCTCAGCAAAATGTTTAAAGCTCGCAACCAGGTTCTGGAGGACAGTGCTGTACAGATGTTGGAGATCCAGCCGGGGGAAACGGTGCTGGAGCTGGGTCATGGTCCAGGTCTGGGTCTGCAGGCCGCAGCCAAGCTCCTCACCGGGCCTGCAGGCCACATTATAGGGGTGGATTACTCTGAGTACATGCATCAGGTGAAGTATCAATACATGTATATAAGAAACGTAATGAAGACTTCATTTCCCCATTTTTTACATATTTTTATCTTTTTACATTTGTGACAAAGCTTGTCTTTAAACCGTGTCTGAAAACTCTCCATTTAACTTAAGCAAGCCATGAACTCAGACCTAGTTCGTTATTTTAGATGTTAGAATAATCTAATAGTAAAAAAAAAAGATAAAACAATAACAAAGACTGTTCACACTGCAGATCTTAATTCCAACCTTTTTTGCTCGAATACGATTATTTTTATAGCTGTGGTTATAATTTAAATGCAGCCTCCATCAGACAGTGTTAACATTCAGCAGCTAGTTACATTTGATCTTGTCACTTCCTGCCTACTAAGGTGCAGAATTACTCTTATAGAATATAGGCCACGAACTAAAAGTAGAAACAACCTCAAGTATCCATCATGTTAGTATCGATATGGCAAGTTTAAAAATGACAAAACAACTGGAACTGAAGAGGTTTGAAGTCCCAAACTTTAAACTGCATGATGTTGGTATTGATAGCATCAATATACCTCAGTAACGTAAAAGTCTGATAAAGTGGAACTTGACCGTTTAGAATACAGTCACTTTGAAAAACATTTGATATGCATCAGATTTTGTACTACATATGAAGAAGACCTCAGTTAGATTTGAAAGAATCAGACTTGTCATGCTCAGACTGTCATAAAAAAGTCTGATATGGGTTTCATATTGGCAAGGAAATCAGACTTGGGTTACTTTTGCCTGCAGTGTGAACGTAGATTTATAGTTTGAAGCTTTTTTTCTAACTGAAGGAGAGGAATCACACCTTTTAGGAACTGAGCATCATTTTTGCTTTCTGCTGTGATAGATGGCAAAAGAACGATTGAAGGGACTCATCGCCAGTGGCAAAGTGACCTTACACCTTTGTGATGTAGCTGCCATGCCTCTGGCAGACAACACTGTGGATAAAGTCTTCCACTGTAACTGCTACTATTTCTGGCCTGACCTCAGAAAGGCTGCCTTGGAAATACATCGTGTAATCAAACCAGGTAATGTCGCAAAACAAGCCGTATTTTTTAAAATACATTCATAATTTGATCTAAAGCTTACCCCAMACACTATGATTTCATATTTAAACTCATCCAGGTGGCCGGGTGGTGACCACAATGAGGCTTGCCCATATAACTGCTTTGGGAGCGAAGGGAGTGATGCCAGGAGAGAACTGGCGTCCAGAGGCCTATATGGCAGCTCTGAGGGACTCTGGCTTCACTGACGTCAGGATGGAAGACAAACAAGATAAAAATCTAACCTTTAAGGCTATTTTTGCCACTGCCTTATAATGACATTGCGTGTATTCCAAGTTAATTTCATGAAAACACAAGGGTTTTTATGGCGTGGCATTGAAAATGGGATCAACTGTGTTTAATTGTATTAATAAGAAAATACCTAATACCAATTATTACATTATTTAGACAGTTTAAGATTCCTCAAATGTGTCACTGAATTTCAGCACTTTGTTCAGTGTTGCCTATGCACAAAAGTACACATTGGGCCTCATGCAAGAACATGTTCGTATTTTTATCCTAAATTTCTCTTACTTTTGTT